CTTAAAATGTCGCATGACACAACCCAAAAATGACACGTAAATTTTACTCCACCATAATTTTAAATGGGATGGACGACGTCACGTTGTTTGGAATTGAGCGACTTGTGAAAATGTACGTCTCCGAAATTCTCGAATCCATTCGGAGAACAAGTGTTATCGAGGATAAATTGTCGATCAAAGCTGGGTTGTCAATTGCAAGCGAATGCTCTCACATAGAGGAGAGTCAAGCTTAGTGAGACTTTCGTGCCCGGATAGGTTTGCATAAATGTTGTTGAATACGGCTGTGGAGGTTACCAAGTGTGAAATCTACGTATGATATACCACACAAGGCACAACAAACTCATAAACCACAGTCACTTGGCATCATTTAGGTAGTCCATCAATATGTTGGAACGAGGGACTTAGCAGAAAGGAGTTCATCAAAGTAATCATTCGCTTCCGCGTGTGAAAGGGCTTGGACTAGGAAATACATATAGAGTCGATGAGTCATAAAAACATCAACGGGAAAATCATTGGTCTGAGAATAGTTTTCAGGAATTCGAGCTCGGTGTGAAGAAACTGATGAGTGGAGCTAAAATAATAATATGCGCTTAATATAGACGTTCGTATCGTGCAAAACTTGATAGCCGGGTTGCCTTCCACGTACTTCTTATGATGCAATTCATACATCGCAGTGGGTTGATAAGTGAATGCGGACATACAGCGAATTCGGCACAGGCTGTGACGGCCGGGACCGTTCTGCAAGCCCCGGAAATGCGTGACAAACCCGAACCACAATGGACAGTGGGAGAGCGGCATTTGGAAACTGAACATTCTACTTGAAAAGTAGGAGTAGGACGATCACCACCTGTAAGCTTTGGAAGAGTTGATACTGACCTGCACCGCCGCGCCTTGGTGCCTGGTCGGCTTGGCCTGTGATCATGTGGTAAGGCATCTGTGTATGCTATGCAAGCGGTTGACTCAGATTTTGGTTGGTGCTTCCCTATGCGTCATGGTGGTGCTTTTTAAAGGCATTGCAGTAGCCTCCTTAGCATGAGTGTTAACATGCCTCTAGCACACCGATATGAACGAGATGGATGTGTGGCCAGCTTCACTTCCCTGCTTTAGCCAGTGGCTAGCTATTGGCCAGTGGCTCCAGGTGGCATTTGTCGGTTTGCTAGCGTGAACACATCCGTTCGTTTTTAGACATTGCTTAGTTGGAGGAGAGCACCACACTTTTTCTAAGCGCACACCCACTAGAAGAGCGGGGCCAATGTGTCCTCTGAACTGCCATGTGCTGATGTGTCTTAAGCCCCTGCACACCGCACGGTGTGTAGGGTTCGCTACATGACGGATATGTACCTGCTGGCCTTGCACTAGTCGGGGACGCGTGACAAATTTCTGCCGCAAAAACTGCCACTCAAACTTCTAATGCCGAGTCTCATCCGTGCACTATGGCCACGCACGCTTTCCCTGCGGGAGTGTGTCTTGTTGCGGTCTGGCTCGAAAGCCTGCATGGGGGTTGATTCACTCGGGGAAAACGGCCTTGCGCTGGCTGCGTCATGATGCTCCTTGATTCCAGCTGAAGACCGTCCATAAAAGTCGCATTCGTAATTTGCCCACTCGTAGAATGGTTCCAACAAGTGATGCCGGCTGGTAAATTTGACTTATTGCGGTTGTGTCCGATACCATCGACTCACCAAAGAGCAGCTACGGCAACAAAGACCGTAAATAGCGAAGATATGTATCTGATATTTGGGCCTTATAGTGCTTTGTCGTTGTTCTCATCCGTGTAACTTTGGGTTTGCAAACTGGCGTGATGAGCAAGTAGGCAATGGTTCTTACATCGACCGTACTTGTGTCTTCTAAAAGTACAGAATCGCCTCAACGCACTTACTAGCGGACAGTGGGTGCTGTCTGAAAGCAGCCATTCTCACAGCCTGTTCGAAATATACACTGAGACAGCTCGAGCGCGGTATAGTTACACGCATGCTAACGTTCAGAACCAAACAGCTTAAGTCAAGTGATCAAACCTTCTCGGAAAGTAAGGCATGCCTCTCATGGGCCAGCATTCTCGCTTTTTCCAGAAATAGCTAATGGAGTTACTTTGCCCGTAAGCTTTGTCTTGCAGTCAGCTCGTAAAACACCCAGGCACTTGTACATTACGGCGCTCGAGCGGAAGCTTGTTTAAATATTGGTGTAACTGACGGGGTACTAGTCAACACCTAGTTGGAGCTTGGTTCTGGGTACTTCATACCAAAACATCGACGCCAAGACGAAACGAAATGAGAGCTATTCACTGGGTCCAAATAACGTCGTCCAGATAACGCGTAGTTGCTGTGAGAGCCAGGCTTCATTGTGACACGCGTCGGGAAGAGAAAATTCTGGGGAGCTTCGTGTACAGCAGTGGCGGCGTTTCCATTAAGACCTTAATGACGGTGCTTTAGGCGAGTGCCTCAAGTAAGACGGTGCTATCTCATCAAGCATCCACGCATCAGAGACCGTTTAGACATTAAAAAAAATAATCTCAGACCGTGTCAAAATCTAGTTTGTCTTTGTGCAGTTCAATAGATTCTTTCATTCCCTAATTATATACACCAGGGTCGATTTGTATTGTTCTGAGTGGGCCATTCTCCCCCCCCCCCTCCCACAATGATCAATCGGCATTCCCCAACTGTGAGTTTTACCCCGTGATCTTCTGGAACCTGAGTTCGAGCAGGGCATTACAAATTGGGGCTCAAACTAATCTAATTTCTTCAAATTTTGTTTACAATTTGTATTACTCCCATGTCTATTCGTTTTGTGAGCAGCAGTGAGTTGTATGTCATAACACTGCGTTTAACTGAAGGCTAGTAGTGCTGGCATTTAATCTGTGCCAGACAGTCGCTCAACCGGCTGTTGTTCAAATTCAGCCAAGGTCACCAATTCGGCCAATTCGGCCTCGGCTGGTTACTTATGGTGGTCCTTCCGATCAAAATGGCCGCATGCGCAGGAAAGAGTGATGTTGTCTGATGTAAAGCTGAAGCAAGGCGAATAACTGATGTCACCAGGGTGAATATTTATAAGAGGCGAAGGTGGGGCACGTGCGGCTGATGCCTGGCCAGAACCTGGACCCCAAAGATTCGGGGTACGTTCGAAAATAATGTGGGGTGAGTCGATGAGAGCGTTGGGGCGACAGCGTGAACCGCTTTGCGGGCCTTTCAAAGAACGAAAGGGTGCCTACCTGCCCCCTCCCCCTTCTTTCAACACAAGGGTTAAACTCAACGACAGAAAAACGCAATATGTGATGATGTGTATGCATGCACACTGCTTCGTTCTGTCCAGCGCTCCCAACAGAATGTGTTCCTGTCTTTGACGTCACCAGCCGGTCGTGCTCCGCCCGCTGGCCGTGGCCAGATTACGGTACAGAGGCGATTACAGGGAGCGGCGCTCTGGAGCTGCCGCTCCATGTGGAGCAGAGATTTGGAGCCGCCGCTCCACGTGGAGCAGCGCTGTGGGGCCGCCGCTTCATGTGGAGCAGCGCTCTGGAGCTGCCGCTCCATGCGGAGCAGAGATTTGGAGCCATCACTCCATGTGGAGCAGTGCTCTGGAGCTGCCGCTCCATGCGAAGCAGCGCTCTGGAGCCGCCGCTTCATGTAGAGCAGAGATCTGGAGCCGCCGCTCCATGTGGAGCAGTGTTCTGGAGTCGCCGCTTCATGTGGAGCAGCGCTCTGCAGCCGCCGCTCCATGTGGAACATAGATCCGGAGCCGCCGCTGCATGTGGAGCAGCGCTGTGGGACCGCCGCTCCACGTGGAGCTACAACCCATGCATGTACTCCTCTGAAATCCTGCAGCGTTGTTTTAGAGCGCCATGAAAGTGATGCCATGAGCGTAGACTGATAGGATATGCCACGAAGACCCATATATGCATTTGCGACACTGGGAAGACCCGTATATCAGCATGTGCCCAGCGTTTTGTAGCGTGTTTCGTACGGCGGCAGAATACGACTTACGTCACTTTCGGATCGCTCCGTGCAAGCATATTACTTCTGTGCCTTCTGTGTAATATTTATGCGGGTCTTAATGCTCAACATGACTGATGGCTACGGAGAGTCGATGCATCTGAGAAATAACAAGCCGATGGCTGCACCGCGGGAATTAGAAACAGCGTAGACTCTGGCATCGCTTTATGGAAGTGGTCGTTATTCGTACGTAGCTGAGCGGAGTCCAGTGAACTGTTAGTTCCACGGTTTGCTAGCTGCCGAAAGAAAATCTCCCTGACATGTGACTTCCTACTGATGACTTCACAAGCGAACCTGTTTGTAATTTGTGACTTCCTGACATTCTCGGCCCAGAATCAAACATTGATAATCCCCAGACTAACAACCCAGATCAGGATAATTTGCCCACGTGTCTTAGGGCATCGACAGAAAACATACGTTTTGATAGTTCCACGTTCACAGCACTCCGCCAGCCCCAAAACAGAAAACTTCTGGGAGCGCTGCTGTCCACAACCCGTCGTCAGCCTTGAGGCCATTCGAAAGCAATGCTCCCTGGAAGCCCACACCCAGGCACGCCGGTCCAGCCAGGCGTCTCTGACATTTCCACCGCCGCGGTGTGGCTGGGCTGGCGGTGCGGTCCCGGACCCGCCGCGGTGTGGGCACCCAACTGAGAGACGCATGGCGGGTTCCCAGTACTTCGGCGCCCGCCGCCATCTGCGCTGCGGCCCCAGCTGGCGCGAAAGCTGCCGCTGTTTTGCGGTCTGTGGGGCTTCGCCGCCGATGGACATGGAACACGGCTCGGGTCGGTGGGCAATGCGTTGCCCACTGACCCAGCGCAACGTCCCAATCCATTGTAATGGGTCAGGACGTGAAGCGCCCGTCTCCACTGGGATTGGTCCGTCCTTGGTGTATCGGGGCACGTAGAGGCGTTCCTCATGCGGCAGTAAGCGAGTGTGTGGTGTTTTCTAGGCGCTCCGTCTCTGTGGAAGGCAACTTACGTGACCCACCACAGTTGCTGACTGACGCCGCCGGCCGCCGCAGGGCACATCCTGACGTTCCCAAAGCCACTTCTCTCCATAACCGGTGGACGGGTCAGGAACCATGACTGTTGCACGCTTTCTGGCGACGCGGAGCATAAACGCGGAATAAAAATATGGTCATCCTAGAGGTGCGCCTTTAAGGGCAGTACAATGGGAGGACAGCGGGCAATATGATTATTCATGGCTGCTCCGAGTAGCCAAGAAGTAACGCACGTCAGCACGTAACCTTCGGTATTACATGACGTGGTACCTGATGGGTAAAGACTCGCGGGCTGGATAGGTTGATGTTTGTGTTGAAACGTGCTTTGGTATCCCTGGTATCCCTGGTCAAGGCTGTCACTGTTTTAGATAGAAATATGATTGCTCGAAAAAGAGTTTGGAAGTTAAAGCACGACCGCCGACCATAGCGCTTGCGTCAGGTTCAACTTTATGATTTACTGCATGCTTACGTGGAAAAGAAAATGCCGTACGATATAGCCGTTACGTCCTATTCCCTATTGCTCCTTTGTTGTCTAAGTTGTTTGTCACGACGCATACATTAATTTGAAAAAGAAGACGTCGCCAGACACGTGCATAGGTCTGTGGTATTGGCCACAGTTCATTTAACAACCTGCCTTCTACTGTCCGTTTTCAGACATTTGTCTTTTTTTCCGCCCATCTTAACGCGACGATCTGTCTTTTGCGTCTGTCGTCAAGGCTTTGGCCTGTCCTGTTTTCCTCAAGTCATAACCTAGGCTGTCCTGTCTTCCCTCGTCTATCCTTATATCACAGCCGATAAGTTTATTGTCCGTCGTTTCCTCAAAACTTAACTTCTAGAAGGAGTAGGTGTTGATTTGCACGCCATTGAGCATTGACCTGCCATCGCGTTAAGGCAAAATGCGTGATCATTGCTCCGGAAATAGCAAACCCCTGGCGAAAGGAAAGATACACATGCCTCGGGAGTATTCCGTGGCTCTCCACATGAACAATCCACAGCTGATTGTTGTTTGTTAGTCCTTATCCCTCATCAGTGCTATGTGATGCCAATGCTTACATTACAGCGCGCCATCAGCTTAACGGCAAGGCTTCGGGCCATGACACTTTTTCCCTATAGGCCGAAGTAAAGAGTGGAAGGTTAAAGTCCGTTACTTCTTTTTTACATTGCGTGCATTAGAGATAACAAAATGCCTTTTGAAAACAAGCGGCTCATTTATCTTGAAAATGTCAAGCTGTATAGCTCCCGTTTGGAGCAGCCTGCCTAGCGCCCTTGAGAGCACTTGATGGAAGCGCCCACGTTGTTCCATAACGTCACAACAACGTAATTCGACCACAAATTAGCGTCAATGGCGCAAATTCCGCCGTTTTGTGTCTGCATGAGCCGAAAGGTTGTCTCTTGAACTTGAAATTGTTGCCTTCTTCATCAGGAATGAGTTTGGACAGCTTGTCTGGCTGCCCAATCTGGTCCAGTCATCGCATGTCCGCCTTTTTGTCCGTCCGTACGTCGTTGGTTTCTCTTCCTTAGGCGGACCCTATACCTAAGTTTTTACCGAGCTCCCTCAGGCATAACTCAGTCATGTTATGCCGGTTCCCCTTCAGCTCCGCCTCCTCTCTCCGTCCACTGCCTTTTTCTCCGTCATTCTGGCCGACCTGCCGTTGCCGACGCCCGGTTTTTCCACCCCTAATGATCATAGAGAGAAAGCGTGATGCGGCCCAACCAGACCACTGAGCGGGCCAGACCCGGGTAGCAACAGCGGCGGGTCGGCGACCCACCGCGCCGTCTGCTCGCACGCCGCCGCCGCCGCCGGCCCGAGCCAGCCGCCAGCTGACCGCCAGAACCCGCAGTCAGCTGATTGGCGGCCCGGTACCCGGCTCCGGGGCGAGGGTGCGGCGTCGCCATCTGCGGTGGTGCCGGCTGTTGTTAGTGCTATTTCCTGCGGAGTTACGGGGAGAACGTAGTCCGCAGGCTAAAGTGATTCCGATTAGAGTGATTTGGGGCCAGGATCGTCACCGATGCTCGTCTGCGAGATTCACTGCCGGCGATTGTCCCAGCGTGAGGCTGGCGCAGTGTTCGTGACCTTGTCAATCACCGTGGCAGCATCGCTGTGTCCGCCGAACTGCAACGGTACTCGCAGTCTCCGCGGCGATTCGGTCCCTGTTCTCACAACATACCGCTGTATGCCAGCGCGCCACCCGGGCGGCAATGCCCGGCGCCCTTGATCTGCTCTTCGCTTTGATCAGCCCTTTGCCTGTCAGTTGCACGCAAGGCCTTTTCGCATCGCGCGGCCGCATCCCGGAGCCGCCTGCCGCCGACTGTCACCGCCCCTCGCACCCACAGGGAGCTTCGCACCAGATTGGACGAAAGCGACGGTTGCGTTGTGTAACATAGCTTGCTTGCCGTTGCGTGAGATGTTTTGACGATCAATGATTTTGTTTTTGACGAAGCTTCGTGAACGACGGGATGATTGACAACGTGCGAATGTGGTCGCGTTGGTAGCATGTTTGAATATTGCACTCATACTACTATTGCAAGTGTACCGAAATAAACAGTGAACCACTTTCTGAAATGATTCGTGAATAAAATGAACTGAACTGCGGGCTAAAGCAGTCTCCGATCATGCACTTGAGCATTTTGACGTCTGGAGCGAGCCCATACCATGACACGCATGATCATTCTGACCATCTGACTTACGAAATATCATTCCAGTGGCCTTGAAATGATCATGCCAGTTCCCGCGCAGCTCCGCTTGGAAACAAATATGTCCGGGCCTTGTGGTTGCAACGAGAAGGGCAATTACTTGTCTGGCTCATATAATTAGCAAGGACTAATGAGATCCGGACTTCCTCCTCACCGCGACCCTGTCCGGGCGACCTTTCGTTAGATGTAACGATGTCCGGGACTGCCTCACGTCGCGTGCTATTGCACTAATGTGACGGGCAAAAACTACAGCGGCGCGACGGAAGTGAGCAGCAGCCTACAGCGAGCAATTATGGGCAGATCAGAGAACACAGCCATAGCTGAGCCGTAGCGTAATATATCGCGGCTGCTGCTTAAGGTCAGCGCGACACAGCCATCTTTACTTGAGGAGGTCGTCTCCGGACTTTTCCTGACGCATAAAGGCTATCTCTTGAAGTGAGACGACCGTCTCATGAAACAAGATGGCCATCTCCTGACGGCAGACTAGTTAAGTCCCGCCGTCAGGTGGGTATCTCCTGACGCGAGGCTGGCTGGCCGTCACGTGACTTATCGACGACCATTTCCTGAGGCGAAGCTGGCCGCCTCGTGACGTGTCGACGGCCACCTCCTGACAAGTGATGCGTTCGTCTCCTGGCGCGGGGGTGGCCGACCCACCGTCGCAGTCACCAGCAGGCGACGCTTTGGTCTTGGCCGCCGACATTGAGCCGCGCTGACAGCGCCTCGCAACCTGGGGCCGACAACGACCGATTGTGCCCAGCGCGGAGCAACCGCCCAGCAACGCCGACTCGCCCGTTCCGTCGACTCGTGCAGTCAAGGCCGACACTAGGTCAGCGTCCACCCCACGGGACGGTTCGGGGAATGAATAGCTTGCGACAATGAGACGACGCGTGGCTGGCGACGGGAACGTCGACGGGTTCAGTCGTTGGCAGCAATGGGCCAGCGCCGGTGCCAGCGGCAGCGCCGGGGGCAGAGGCCAGCTTTGCCTGAGCCGGCGGCGGCTCCGGCGTCGGCCGCCGCACGCCGCCGCCGGCCTGGAGCGGACTCGCGTCCTCGGGGTGTCTGCCGACCGCACCGCGGCCACCGGTGTCTATCGACAGGTTATTGAGCAGGTCAGCCCATTGATCAGTTTGCACCCCGCTGTGAGTTCCACTCGGTCGCTCGGTGAGCGCCGGACTCTGCCCGCCGGCGAGCCGGGCACGGCAACGGAGCTTCGGGTCGGCCGAGCGCACCGTTGCCAGGAGACGGGCGCCGCGTCGTCGGCGACGTCGGAGCGGAAGCGAAACAGTCGCTGAAAGTGCTTTCTGAGTCTTGATCCGCAATGGATATCAGCCGGACAGACTTCTGGCGACCGGCCGGCCTGCCCACGCTAACGTGGCTAAGCTGACTCAGCAGCGACAAGCAAGTCCGCAGCCGACGGTTTGAGTGCTCGCGGTGTGCGAAATGAAACCCAAGTGGCAACTGGCCACACCATCCACTTCGATTAGCTGTTTTATGGGCTCGCGGCAGAGACATTCGCTAACAGGGTCGACAAATGTTGTAGACGCTAGCGGGAACAAAGGTGAATATCCTGAAACAAAGAGCCTGTCAAAAGAAGAACATGTTAACGATTTGAAGTGCGGGATTGTTTTCAATTGTCAACGAAACTTGTTGCACTTATTGCAAGGTGCCTGCCAATCCAAGTGCATAATTGGTAATTTCCTAACATGAAAGTCCACGTGCAGGCTGTGTGATTTGCGCTGTGTCACTCATCCAGTTTCCGCTGTCAGTGAAATAAGTCTGCACAGAACTGAACGCAAAAAATGCTTCAATTGCAAATAGGTTTGCGACCTTACCACCTCCTTTCATGGAAAAGCGTTCACCACCCACTCTGGCTAACTCCGGAGAGCACGCTCCACACATTGCGGAACAAAGACCGATGCCAGCCACATCTGCTGTCCGATGGCAGGCCACGGGTGCATCTCACCAGCTCTGGCCGCGAAAGTGGGCTTGCACCGCGAGAATGTTTTCCGAGTACCTGGCACCATCTGGTTCCGGAGCCCAGCGCCATGCAGACGCGCGGCACGCCAGACCCGGCCTGGCCGTTCCGCCACCACGCCGACCGGATCTCCGCCACCACGCCGACCGGAGCTTCGCCACCACGCCGACCGGAGCTCCGCCACCATGCCGACCGGAGCTCCGCCACCACGCCGACCGGGGCTCCGCCACCACGCCGACCGGAGCTGATGGGCGCGGCGGAGCGCCGCCTTGAAGTCGGCCGCACGGAGCTGGTGACGCCCGACAGTGGTGGTGACAGCTCGAATGCGGCATCACTTGCCAGGCTGCGTGCATATGTGATTAAG